GGCAGTACAAAATACCTGTCCTGATTCTTTTGAGAAACAGACCACACTCACGTAACTTTTACAGGGTGTTGTTATTATTAGTTGTTGCTAATCTTATACTGTGTCTGACTTATAAATTAAACTATCACAGGTATGTACACATAGGAGGAAATGTGTATACACGGTTCGGTATTTTCTGCAGTTTCAGGCACTCGCTGAGGGTCTTGGAATGCACTTGGGGGCACAGCAATGGACGGCTGGTTACCAATGGACAGCTCCCCTCTCTCGGTGATTAAGTGAGAGGCCTCCTGTGATCTGACCTACAGATAATTGGGGTGACCAGATCCCCAGAGGTCCCTATTAGACAAGGTAACTGGTCAGTGTGTTCCCCATCCTGCCCTTCGGAAAATACCCTGCAGCATGACTCTGGCTTCAGGCCTTCCTTCCGTGAAGGAAACTTGCTCTGGCTAAGAATGTCAGAAGTTTATTCTAGAAGTTCATTCCAGGAGTTCAAGTGTGTGTTCCCCCATGCACTTGGGTCTTATTTTTTCCTAATCTGTTGAATGTAGGTGATTGTTCAGCCCTTTCTCTTGAGGATACTTTTAATATGCATCACAGTGAAGGAATCTATCAACGCTGAATGAGAGCCCATCCCCAACTTAGATCCCAGTGACACAGAATTAATGAGTCCACTCTATGAACTCCTTAACTGGGCTTATGACAGTCACTCTTTCCCATGGTCCTGTTTCTATCAGGTGGTTTTATTCTGCTTTGCTACAAAGGCTAACTGTACATGTGTCACACAGATTTGAAATATATATGCTTGCAGTGACTGAGAAAGGCTGGACTGTGATGGTACTCGAGGGTCCCTGTGCATCAAGGTATGCCAGTGGAAGGCATGTCCTGAGGCTACTTAGAGTCCCATGGGCTTCAGTTTAGAAAGGCCCAAGTGGGCCAGGTGCCAATGGCTCACACCTGTAATCCTAGCTATTCAGGAGGCAGAGAGCAGGAGGATTGTGGTTAGAAGAAGCCAGCTTGGGGAAACAGTTCATAGGACCTTATCTCAAAAAAAATCCCATCACAAAAAAAAGAGCTGGTGGATGGCTCAGGGTGTAGGCCCTGAGTTCAAGCCTCAGTACCAAAACAAGAAAAGAAAAGAAAGAAAGTCCCAAGTGGGCCTAGGCCTGTAATCCCAGCTCTCAGGAGGCTGAGTCAGGAGGATTGAGAGTTAGAGGTTAGCCTGGACTCACAAGACACTGTCTAAAAAAAAAAAAAAACAGAGAGAGAGAGAGAGAGAGAGAGGAAGAAAGAAAAGAAGAAAGGGAGAGATAGTAGAAGGGAAGGGAGGGAGAGAGGGAAGAAGGAAGAGAAGGAGGGAGGGAAGAAGGAAAGAAGGTAGGTAGCTCAGCCTAGGAGGCACCCAGATGGGTGTGGGCAGAAGCTCTTTTATGCAGTAAGCAGATTCCAAGGTCTGGGACTTTGATAAAGATAATTTATTTTATCATGCCTTTGGAGACAATAGCCCGTGGATATCTCTAGGAAGACACCAAGGTACAAATAGAGAATTCTCAGGTTGAAAAATCAAGGTCAAAATGTAGAACTGATCTACGTAGAGAATCTGCCTCGTCTCCTGGAGAAAACAAACAATTTGGGTTTTGTTATGCTGCTGTTCAGTGTCTGAATGAGAACTCAGGACAGTGAGGGTGTCAGGCTCCTCTGGTCAGTGCCCAGGTGACAGCCACTTGGGGAGGCTCCCAGACGTATTCAAATGACAGTAGTGGATGAAGGCCTGAGTTCAGAGTAGAGAGGAAAAGACAAGCAGAGAGCCACTCTGGACGTAATAGCTGAGGATTGATGTACATAAAAATTAGAGGAAGAGTTCAAGACTTACAGTCCACATGGGTGTAAATAATAACGCCATAGGTTTCATGGAACCATAGAAGATTTGGGGAGAAGGAAGGAGGAGTGCGCAGATAATGAATTGGCTTTGGTGCTTCTGAGTTGATGTCCTCAGGTGGGGCAGTCCAGGAGGCAACTGAACACAGAAACATGGCACCTTTCAGAAAGGTTGCTTGCATAGAAGCTGGAGGGAAAGGAGCAGTAGGTATTCTGTGAGGTGGTCTGTATCGAACAATCATAGAGAGTGATTGTCCCTAAATGGGATTTGGAGAGTTTTTTTCCTAATGAGTGTTCTCTGAGGTTCCTGTTGTGGAACTAAACCCACAGGTGGCCAATGGCAGGAGTATCACTTTTGGCTGTGGACGAGACCTGGAGGTAATATCTGAGTCTGTGGCGTCCCTGTTTCCCAATTCTCTCTATCGCCAGCACCTGTCACAGGTTTGCAGCTTCTCTGTGTCACCTGTTTTTATGCAGAGACAAGTGCTTAGAGTGACTTGGGACAACTGTACATCCTTGGGGATCACAGCTCAGCCATCTGTCTCCAAGTGCTCCATACTTTGTGTCCTCAAATCCACAAAAAAAAAAAAAAAAAACTCGTCTCCTCCACCAAACATGCAACCAACTCAGTATTTCTTTTTGCTAATGTTGACAAAAAAAACCCCAAAAAACAATGTCAACAAAAAACACCAGGAAGGGCAACTTTATTTTGAAGAAGGGCATCCCACCTCATCTCAGATTCTTTAAATATAAATGTTTTTTTTTTTCAGCACTGGGAATTGAACTCAGGACCTCACTCAAGTGTGCTGTCACTTGAACCATGCCACCAACTCTTTTGCTTGTATTTTGTTTTTGAAATAGGGTCTCACTAACTTTGCTCAGGCTGGCCTCAAACAATGATCCTTCTGTCTTAACCTCCCGAGTAGCTGGGATTACAGGCATGAACCACCATGCCTGGCCAGTAAATGAACTTTTCAAAAGAGATGAAATCATTTGCTTGTTGTTTATTTTTTGGTAAGAGAAAATAGTAGGATTTCATAGGCAGTTTTGATCATTTTGAAGGCCATTCCATAGGTGGGAGATTCATTTTGCATCATGTAATACAAAGCACACTAAATGGCAATTTGGAGTCATAGTTGTGCATTTAATAGGTCTTGAACATTTCAAATTCTATTCCCACGTTGATTTTCAGAACTGTTTCCTAAAGAAACTCGCTCATTGATGATTGCCTGTCAGTACCGTGTGTCTCTTAACGGGTTGTGATGGCAAAGTCTGCTTTTCCTGATAATTTTATTAATGTGTGTGAAGGCCGAAAACCTGAATGTGTAGTGTATGTGGTAACACTGTGGGTGCAACCTAGGGGCCAGCTGAGCAGTGTTTGAAGATATTGGTCCTTGATAACCTCACGGGAAAAATTTACCTGCAGATTTGAAACTGGAAAGCAACTGGAAGCAGTATTTTCAAAAGAATCCCAAAGCATGGCTTTGTAGCTTTTCAGTATATATGTTAAGAATTATATACAAATTAAAATGTTGCACTGAGCTTCAGCACAACCAAGAAAATCTCAATCATGAAAAAAAAAAAAAAAGGACCAAGAGTGAGGAGGGAGCCCGACACCCGGTCAAGTGTACTCACCCACTTAGGACTGCAGGTTAATGAACTGCTCCCATGCCACTCAGGCTGTGCCTACTGTCGCCTGCCCCTCCCTGCGGAATTGTGGCTCTTTGCTTTCTAAGGTTCCTTTTCCATTCATGGGAGAAACAGGAGACCCCATTAAAGAGAATCTCCCATCAGTAATAGAAATGGCTGAGATTAGCTCTGCTATCTCCTCAGCTGCTAAGCAAATCAAAAATGTATTAAGTGCATGTTTAAATTTACTCGGCCAGCTGAGGTAAAGCCAGACACTCAGCCTGTTCAATGGACCCTTAGCTCTCATTGTAGGCTGTCTGTGTACTTGGGATGCCTACGTCTAGGACTGCAACTCTGCTCCAGCTCTTTGGGGAGAAATAAGTTGCAAATCATTTGTACCCCGCTGCAGAGTTTCTGTAGCATATTTTTAAAGAGCACGGGTTATTATGCATTGCAGGGAGAGGTAGTGGCGACGGGAAGACTAGGGATGGGGTTCAGAGGTACAGTGATTGCCTAGCATGCTCAAGGCCCTAGGTTCCAGCCCTGGCACCCTAAAACAAGACGAAACAACAAATTATTTAAGCCTTTGTAGTAATACTGCAATCAAGGTTCTAGAACGGGTCAGTCTGGAGGCTCTTCAGACTGGAGGCTCAGACCCTGCCTCTGCTACCCATTTGTATTCTGCTCCTCCGCTGGCTTCACACGCCCTTTGCAAGCAGAAGTGATCAGTCTCTGGTCTTCCGAAGACTGTGACAAAGGGGACTCTTCAAAGCACTGTACCACTTTGTGATCATTAGATAGGAGTAGAAACGCTCCTCGTCTCTGACATTATGGGATGTTTTGTCCTCCCTCGCCAGGAAAGGCAAACCTGTGGTTTGCTGGTGAACTTCAATTTGTCCTAGCTGGACTAAAGCATGAGCATTCCAAGAGACGCAAGTGGCATTTGTGACAGAAGGAAATACAGAGCATCAAACGGCAACCATAAAAGAATCAATCCCAAGACATGCGCCATAGGTAAGAGACTCCGTTCAGTTTGAGATGAAAGATCCTCTCCCTACCCCACCTCCAGAAAACCCCGGAAAGTTTTACCTTCATCCCACACATGCACTCCACCGCAAAGGCACAAACGCGTCCACGCACTCTCGCAGGCATGCGTGTACTCCGACGTGCCCTGCAACTCACACCTCCCACGCTTCTCAGAACGTCTCACGCGCTCACACCCCGCACGCCCCCACCCCGCACCCCGCACCCCCACACCGGCACCCCCCCACGCCCCCACCCCGCACCCCCCCAGCCCCCCACGCCCCCCCACGCACTCCCGCATGCCTTGAGCCCTCCCGAGTGTCCATGGACTGGGAGCAGCTATGCCCCATCCTGCATCTCTAGCAACAAACCCTGGACAAACTTGACCTCCCTTGCCTTTGACTCATGTCACCCTCCCAGACTGCCGACAAAAAACTAAAAAGGAGCCAGATTATGACTCCAGGTGTACGTACCTGACACAAAAGTACAAAACCACAGGTCCTGACTTCTTGGGGAAATCATGCTCCAATACTCGCCGGTCCAGCTGAAGCCAGTTCAGATGTCCCCTGAGGAAAAGCGTGACAAGCTGGTCAGGGTTCGGGTGGCTCAGTGTTCGCCATGAGAGCACACACGGAGCAGAACGTGCCAGAGCACAGAGGCACAAGGGTCGTGGCCTCGCTGCTAGCTTTTCCATATTGGAGGGAGCAAGGGAGCTCTCTGGGGACAGTGTGTGTGAGTGGGAGAGATGGGGATGGGCAGAGGGGGATCACATCAAGGGGTGAGTGAGACCCCACGGTGGGCTTCCCATGATCGAAGCTCTCTGTGTCCAAAATTCCCTTCCCACCTCTCCCTGCTGCCTTGTTTGCTGAAGGACTCACAGCCCACTTAAGAAGTATGGTACCAGTCCTCACAGCTTCCCACTGGAGGCACATACGGTCAGAAGTGAGCACAGGTAGTACTTACACCTACATATGGACCAGCCGTTCTACTCCTACAGATCTACCCGGCCCCCCACAAGTGCTCTTATGCACACGTTCACAGGTACTTCTTAGTCACGTCACAGACACTGTACACGGATAGATACTTCATAATCCCGAGTATAGCCCCAAAGTCAAAGCAAACCCAAGGTGGACCAGCAAGTAACTGGACAGACAAGGCATGACGTGAGGAATACTATGCAGTACTGTTGCTTCATGCAGGCAGCAACATGGATGCATCTCAAAATAATTACGCCAAGTGAAAGAAGCCAGATTTTAAAAAGCATGCAGATGAAATGAGTCCCCATTTATGTAAAATTCTAGAAAGTACCAACTAATGTACAGTGACCAAAAGCAGGAAAGCAGGTCCAGGGTTTTGTGTGTGTGTGTGTGTGTGTGTGTGTGTGTGTGTGTGTGGTTCATGGAAACATTTCAGGAGTGATGGATGTGTTTCCTAACTCATTGCAGTGAGGGTTTTCATGGTTGCAGACTTAATTGTAAACTTATCAAACTGTGCACTTTAGAAGATGCAGTTTATTGATGTCAGTTATAATTCATTAAAGATATGTTTTAAAATGAGCCATAGAAGGCCAGGCATGGTGACACAAGACTGATTCCAGCTTCACGGGAGGCAGAAATAGGATCACTGGCCGAAGCCAGCCATGGGCAAAAACACGGACTTTATCCAAAAAAATCACGAAGGCAAAAAGTGCTGAGGGAATGGTTCAAGTGGTAGAGCACCTGCCTCGCGAGGGCAAGTCCCTGAGTTCAAGCCCCAGTACTGCTGAAAATAGTAGGAGCAGGGAAAGAAAGAGTGAACCACAGAGCCCATCGGTGAGATACAGATGGGGACGAATGTTTCTGCATTCCCTCCCTCCCCACTATTCTCTTTCCATAAACACTAACTGACCACTGTCACTGTGAAAGCCCCTGGGGATGCAGCAGCGAGTGGAACAGACACCATCCCTACTCCCCAGAGCTTGTACCCTGTATGAGACTGACCCCACCCCCTAGTTCACAGTTGATTACATAATTACTCCTAACATTAAGATGGTGACTTAGGAGGACATGGGTGGAGCTGAGCTAGTCTGAGGATTGGAGAAGCAATTCTTGCTGTTTGAGATTGGAAGAAAGATCAGAGTTTATTTGGCAAAGGGGAAGAGGAGCCACCTTTCAGGCAGAAGGACAGGCATGTGCAAAGGCCCTGAGGTGGGAAGGAAGCTAGTCTCAGAGTCAAGTGAATGCAAAGTGAGGGAGCTGGAGAGCTCCATGGAGTCCTGCTGCAAAGGCTGGTCTTTGAAGAATGAGGCAGAGCCAGGGAACAACCATGAGCAGAGACAGATTCTTTCCCTTTTCCTCTCTTTACCAAGCTCAGTTCAGCAGCCTGCAGGATTCAGAGGCTACATCACTGTTGCAGTGGTGCACTCTGACCTGACCCAATGACCACAATCTTCAAGTGACTCACGCTGGGTGACACCAGGGCTCGTGAGAAACAAAATTGTTCTCTATCATGGTACAGAACTGTGTGCTCCCTCGCCCACACACTAGGTTCTCTGCTCCCTTCCTAAGACCATTCAAATCACACCTTTTGCACAAGAAAAACAGATCCTTTTCTCTTGTCCCACACCTGTAGTTCTAGGGAGATGTCTGCCTCAGAAGTGCATCCATCTTGGGCATTCAGGCCTCTTTTTCCTCCTTCTAAGAATCTCAAGTTGGAAAAAAAAAAATCCCAGTAACTGTTTTTTTATTACCTTGCTCTGAAGGGTAAAAAATAACTCAATGAAAATAATAATAAGTAAATAAGTAAATGGAAGAGAGTATCCTAAGTAAAACTGCTGGACCAACTTCTTCCAGAAAGGTGAGGTAGATTCCCATCCGACTAGAACCTGGGACCAGGAAGCAGGAGGCTGAGTACCAATGTTATTACTGATCACCCCTTGCATGCTGGCCATGACCCCAGGGACCCTGCCATGGGGAACCTCTGTGCCTCAGCTCATGCTGTTCCCTCTGCCTAGGATACCATTCCCCTCCTTCTTCGCTCTGTGAGGTACAGCCCCTGCTGCAAGATTCAGCTGTCACAAGTCTGCTGGAGAACAGACACAGGTTCCCCATGCTGCACACCAGGTGAGGCTAAGGTTCATCCTCTGACTCCAGCACCATCTCTGACACCCTCTTTGGGCCTCGCTTCTCTTGTCTGAGGAACTTATTCTGGGTAGGTGTTCATTTTCCCCAGCAGACGTTTACATCTGAAAAAAAAATGTCACAAGAGTATCTCATAGGCTCAAACAGTGCATGTTTGAAACCTGGAGGTGTTAGACAAACCTTCAGAGGGTATCCTGCCTCTGACAATGTCCCCCAAATTCTCAGGGTCTCCTTTCCATGCTGAGCTGTCTGTAAGTGTGCTTGTTTTACTGCAGTTGCAAAACTGTCTCTCTATTCTCTTTCTTTTAGTGAGACTGGGGTTTGAACTCAGGGTTTTGAGCTTGCAAGGTAGGTGCTCTACCGCTTGAGCTACATCTCCAGTTTTTTTGATCTGGTTATTTTGGAGATGGGGGTCTCGGGAACTATTTGCTCATGCTGGTTTCAAACCTTAATCTTAGCCTCCCAAATAGCTAGGATTACAGGCGTGAGCCATCTGTGCCCGTCTTCTCCATCCTCTTAATCTGAATGCTGAGTTGGTCAAGGCTGAGTTCAAGTGTTTAGTGAAGACTTCCTTGATTGTTATGGTTTGGATCGTAATATCCCCCAAAGGCCCGAGCAGGCAGAGTTACCCTAAATTGAATAGTCAGCTTCTGAGGAAGAATGTCCCGCTTTCTCCACTCTCCTGCTTCAGCTCTTCAACCTCGATTCTGGGAGGAACGGGCATGGCAAGCACTTGCTTGGCTCTGATGGAGAGGGGATGTTCCCACATCCCGTGTCCTTGGGCCCCCCAGGAGGAAGGAAGTCAGTCGCTCCATTTCATGAGCTGTGAAAATCTCTCCAGTGAAGGCCACTGTCAGAGGCAAAGATGAAAGGGAGAAGGGGCTCTCCAAGGTCTTTAGGGTCACTGCCCATATTTGAGCAAAAGCTAAAAGATCAATTAGAAAGTAAAGTGGAAACCGTAATTCTGAAGCCACTGTTTTCAGCTGCACTAAGACTTGTTAAAATACTGTTTTCTGTGCATTTTGGGGGTCTTCCTATACCGTAAAGGGCTGAAGGGGCTTTTTCTGTCTCACGGTCCTTTCTTAAATCTTTTTTTTTCTTTTTGGTGGTACTGGGATTTGAAATCAAGGCCTCACACTTGCTAGACAGGTGCTCTACTACTTAAGCCATGCCCTCTGGCCTTTTTTTTTTTTAACTTATTTTTTAATAGGGTCTCGCACTTATGCCTGGGCTGGCCTGAAAGATGATCGTCCTCTTTATACTTCCTTCATAGCAGGAATGACAGATGTATACCACCATACCCAGTTTTTATTGGTTAAGATGGGGGTCTCACTAACTTTTTTTGTCTGGACTACTCGAACTGAGATCTTTCTGATCCCCTCCAAAGAGCTAGCATTATAGTGTGAGCCACTGTGCCTGACCTTTTTGTTTTTGTTTTTGTTTTAGAGCAAAGAAGGAAAGATGTATTTCCTTTGTACAGTGGAAGTAAGAGACGCCTGATGGCCTAGTGTTCACGGTGGTTCATTTGGTTTATAGATGCTGCAGGTCAAACTGTTGGGTCAGCAGTAAACCTGGAATTGCTCGAGGGCAGCAGGAAATGGAGGTATTGATTAAACAGATTGCTTTTCGCTTCAACATTTAATACAAATAGATTTTTGGTTCACGCATTGGTACCTTCAATAGACATGGCCTTGGGAGAGGAGGGTGGAGGTGTGTTAAGTCTATCTGAACTATCCCTTTGCAGGACCTAGGGAGAGAATGACACTGAGGGTATTTTAGATATTTTTATTGGAGACAATTTATTTCATATAGAATAAGTTTCTAAGAAAGACAAAGCAAGAGTACGCAATTTTTTTGTGTGTGTGGTACTGGGATTTGAACTCAGAGACTTCACCTTGAGCAACTCCACCAGACCTTTTTTGTGATGGGTTTTTTTTTTTGAGATAGGGATTCGTGAACTATTTGCCCAGGCTGACTTTGAACAGAGATCCTCCTGATCTCTGCCTCCTGCGTAGCTAGGATTACAGGCGTGAGCCACAAGTGCATTGCACAAGAATATGCAATTCTTATAGATGTTGCTGGTGGAAGAATGTTTAGCTACTTAGTAACCTTGATCCTGAAGTATACATGCCCATCAAGACAGCTCAGGGGCCGAAGCTGATGATGCATGCCTGAATTCTAGCTACTTACAGGCTGAGATGGTTCAAGGCCAGCCCCGGAACAAATAGTTTCTGAGACCCCTATCTCCAAAATAACCTGAGCAAAATGGACTGGAGGTGTGGCTCAAGAAGTAGAGTGCCTGCTTTGCAAGTGTGAAACCCTGAGTTCAAACCCCAGACCCACTAAAACAGAGAAAAAAAAAAAAGATGTGTCAGGGATATTAACTAGAAACTGTCAAATTCCATAGAAAGATGGTAAGGGTGTATACTGAAGAAATCATGTTACCA